CCCTGTCCCTGCCCCTGCCCCTGCCGTTCTCCTTGCCTTTCTCGCCGCTCTTCCCCTGCCCATTTCTCTGACCCTCTCTCTGTCCTTCTCCCTATCCAAGCGCTGTGTTCACCCCTGGTCCCTCAGTATCCTTGCCCGTATCCCTGCGCCTCTTCCTGTCCTGATGCTATCTTCATCCCTGGTCCCAGAGAGGAAAGATGTGTACTAATGTCTTTACAAACAATTCGATGGGTGTGGGTCTTTWGGAGAAATGGGTGTGAATATATTTACTAACCTCAAGCTACACAGGTTTGTTACAAGAACCTAGGCAGTTTGACTGCAGTTTGAACTGTACTTTAGGGTCATAGACACATGGGTTGGCACAAAGTCTACTGCAGAATTCAGCCTGAACTTCTGAACTTTGGAGGGAAAATGACATGTTCAAGGGGGGAACTTGTGGTAGGCGRTTTGGGAAGGCTGTACCTTGCTAGTACCTCAGCCAGTGGGGAAGGGAAGAGGGCAACAGGGGGCCGGGAGTTTAGGATTAAAGGAGGCTGGGTCCTCCGAAACCTCSAGAGAGAAACTGTATGGAATTATGCCCCAGTGGACTTTCTCCCTTTATTCAAATAAAGTTTCAGGACTCATCTGCCTCCTTTATGGACACTGGCTTTTCACAGTGTGATTTTTTCTGCACATCTCTGCCCCTATCCCTGCCCCTGCCTGTATCCCTGCACCTCTCCCTGCCCTGGTGCTATCTTTACCCCTGGCCACTCACTATCCCTGCCCGTATTCCTTCTTCTGTCCCTGCCTGCATCTCATTAGGAAAATCTCATTCCTTAAGTAATGTATCAATTAGTCTTTCTAGAGTGAAACGGTCTGGCCTTTATTACAATCAGTGTACCCACTGCTACACTGTACATGGCATAGCTATGGTTGGGTAGGCAGGCAGCAGGGCCCAGCTCTGGGGAGGAGGAGCAGGAGCAGGAGGAGGACAGCCCCACATGGTGAAGCACTCCTGAAATAAGGTCTGCAGCCTGAGCCCTCCTACACCTCCCTGAGACCCTCCCATCATCTGGCCTCACAGATAAGTGCCACTGAAGATAGTAAGACTGACTCCAGAATGAGGAAAGAAGCTTGCCAAAGCCGTAGAATTGCACTGGCTTTCCAAAGCCATGGGGACAGCGGGGAATTGGTGGAGCCCTGCTGTAACCCCAACACTTGAACGTGCGAGAGCCATGTGTGAGCCACATTTGGGATGCCCCGATTTGGCTGAATGAAGAATTTGTCTTGTCATGCTCATCCTGGTGCCCTGATCTCACTCCTCGGCTGCATGGGCTGGGTGTGAACTGCTCATGACACCCGTCCCTACCCACAGCTCTGTAACCCTGTCCCCACTGCGGCTGCTCTCCCTGCCTACACTCCGAATATCCCTGCYCCTGCCTGTATCCCTACCCAACACTGAGGGGACACTTATCCCTGCTCCTGCCCATGTCCCCGCCCTGGCCATTTGCTGCTGCCACCAATATCTCTATTTCTGTCCTTCTCCCTGCTCCTGACTATATCCCTGTCCCTGTCCATCTCTTCTCTGCCCTAGCTGTACCCCTGTCTCTGTCCCTCACCCCAACTGGACCTTATCTCCATCTTACTCATATCCCTGCCCCTGCTGCTCACCTTTCCCCGCCCCATCCTTGTCCCTATCCTTGCCCCTCCCTCCCTCCTCTCCTCAGCCCCTGCCGGTCTCCTGCCCATGTCCTGATCCCCTGCCCCTTTTTGCTCCTGCCCCTATTCCCTATCCTGTTCCTCTTCCCATTCTTGCCAGCTCCTGTTCCCAGGAGCATACTCCCCCTGTGCCTACAGCCCCCGCCCATCCTCCTGGCTGTGCCTGACCCTGCCCCGAGTTTCCGTGTGTGAGTTTCTGTTATTTGGCTCTTCCCAGTTTATTTGGACTAGCAGGGCAGTCGCGGGTTTCCTTGCACTTTCGTTTCCAGCTTGGCAGARTCAGAAACCGAAATTGCGTCAGGAACAGAAACGGAAACTCCCGATTTCCCGGTTTAAGGCAGCACGGGCAGCAATATCCTGCCCGTTCTCCCCGCTGCCTTCTGCTCCCGGGATCAAGGGGCACCGGGGGCTCTGGTTGGGCAGCGGGCATYGGCTGCATCCCTCTGCAAGGGAGAGCACCAGCCTCCCTGGTGATGCTGGCATCATCCGTGTCCCACTGATGGGGTCGACACCACGACCCTCGGTGACAATGACTATGTGTGCATCTCATTGCCTACAGTGAATGCCAGGGCATCTGCCGACACCGGTGACAGCCTCATTCCATCGCCCGTGATGACACCAGGGTACCTGGTGGCAGTGACCACCTCCTGTTGCCCCTGCAGACACAATGCCACAGCATGAGCCATGTCCCAGCACTGGCTGTGCCCCAGCCCGGACACTCGAGCCYCCAGCATGGGACTGGTGCCGGTCCCTGCAGTGGGGCTCTGCCTTTATCCAGCTGGGCACCCAGGGGAGACCTGTGTCACTGCAGGCACCTGGGCTATGAGGTCCCACAGCACCCAGAGTCAGCCTGCAGGCAGCTCTCTCTGCCACCACCACCCGAGCTGGATGTCAGGGTGACACGCAGCCACTCCTGTCCCCTCCCGGCCCCCCCTGGTGCGGTGGTGGCACCACAGTCACCCGGGGGACCCCGTGGGAAGGACTCAGAGCCACCTTAAGTTCCCAGCGGTGACGCATCGGGGCGGTGGCCCGGGAAGTTTTAAAAGCTGCTGCCGACAGGAGCCGGCTGCGGGGGACAGACAGGAGTTGACATAGGGTACAACAAGGCAGAAAAGGGCGGCGAGAGTGACACACCTGCCAACATGTTTGCGAGCCAGGGGGCATCTGCGAACGAACTGAGAACGCTGACTGCCAAGAACCTGGATGGCTGGATCGCCGACACCCTGCAGCCCAGCACGGCTTTCACCACGCAGGTGAAGGAGACGGTGGGACAAATATGTGAATTCCTGAAGAGAGACTGCTTTGGGGATGAAATCCACGTCCAAAAGACTGTCAAGGTGAGTGCTGCTTGGCTTAGGGGCCAGCTGCCACCCTTYCCACTGTCTCACTGCTCCAGCTCCTGCCCTGCCTCAGTTTCCCCTGACGTGCCAGGAGTGGTGGCAGCCGATCCTGGTGCCAGCAGTGGTGCTGAGCAGGCAGCCTATCTCTCTGCAGGGCGGCTCAGCAGGCAAGGGCACAGCTCTGAAGAATAACTCTGACGCCGATGTGGTGCTCTTCCTCAGCTGCTTACCCAGCTACGAGGAGCAGAAGAAGAACAGAAAGGWTATCCTGGATTTGATCATGATAAGGCTAAAGACCTGCAGGGAGAGCTTGCAGTTTGATGTGTYCATCAGTGAACCCAGGTACAAAGGTCCTGACAACACGCCGCGCTCCCTCAGCCTTACTCTGTCCTCCAGGCTAACTAGAGAGTCCATCGATGTGGACATCCTGCCCGCCTACGATGCTTTGGGTAAGGGCTGCGGGCTGGCTCGGGGCCAGGCACTGGTGTCAGTGCTGGGATGGCTCTCACCCTTCTTCTCACCCCACAGGGCAGGTGATCCAGGATGCCCCACCGAATGCAGAAGTGTACGTGAAGCTCCTGCAGGCCTGCAGCCAGCCTGGGGAGTTTTCCCCCTGCTTCACTGAGCTGCAGAAGTTGTTTGTGAAGCGTTACCCCGCCAAGCTGAAGAACCTCCTGCGCCTGGTCAAGTACTGGTACAAGGAGGTGAGGGGCTGCACAACTTCCCCAGATCCCATTAGACACCCACCCCAGCCAGCTCTCACCCCCGTTTCTGTCTTCTCCCCAGCTGCTGAGTCCACAGTACCCCAATGCACACCTGCCCCCTAAGTATGCTCTGGAGCTGCTGACCGTCTATGCCTGGCAGGAGGCCACAGGCTGCCGTGACTCCTTTGACATGGCTGAGGGCTTCTGCACCGTGCTGGAACTGCTGTGCCGGCACCGGCAGATCTGCATCTACTGGGAGAAGTACTACTCTCTCAAGCACCCACAGATYGGTCACCATGTCAAGGGGTTGCTGTGCAGTCCCCGGTGAGGACCACGCCCAGTAGGAGTGTGTCCACTGGCCCCATGGCACTGCCCAGGGCTGACAGCGATGCCCACTCTGTGTTTGCAGCCCTGTCATCCTGGACCCTGCTGACCCCACGGGGATCCTGGGCCAAGACAAGGACTGGAACTTGATGGCGCAGCTGGCTGCCATGTACCGCCACTCACTGCCCTTCCTTGAAAATGTCCAGCCCTGGAATGTGGAGGTAAGGCTACCTGAGCCTGTGAGCATCACAGTCCCCACCCCTGCCCCTGCTGGCTTTGCCCACCCTCTCTGCTGTCCCTACAGCCAGCCCGGCCCGTGACCATTGACGTGATGCAGCTGTCGGGCAGCAAACTGAGGAAGCGTGTCAGCCCCTACACCACCATTGCGAAGCTGAAGACGATGATCCAGCAGGACTGGGGCATCTCGCTGTACACGCAGCGCCTGGCACAGCAGGAGCCAGGCAAGGGCAACATCATCCTACAGGATTCTGATACCCTGGCCACGTACGGTATCTTCTACGACACCACGCTGGTGCTGCTGCAGAYTGAGCCCCAGCAGATGCAGGTCTTGGTGAGGGACCACAGGAATGTGACCACKACCTACACGGTGCTGCCCACTGACACTGTCCGGAAGCTGAAAGAGCAGATCCAGGCCCGCCAGGGGCCTTCTGCCAATGAGCAGCGCCTGACCTATGACTCCAGGGAGCTGGAGGACCAGCACACGCTGGCACATTACAACATCAGGCCCATGACCACAATCACCATGCATCTGCGGCTCCGGGGGGGTGCAGGCCCCCAGCACCCCTAGTTCYGTGCCTGCTTGCCCTCCTGAGCATTGCCCTCAGCACCAACCCATGCCCCTGTGTATCCCCCTGCCATGCTGGAAATAAATGCTTTGGTAGATACTTGACACTTGTGCTGCTTGATCCACTGGTGACAGTGCCAGGTGTCACATGGGGTGGTCAAGGGGTTGGGGTCATCTGCCCTTTGGGATGAGGGGGGATCTCAATACCACAAGCTGCTGGGATGGCACAGGGACACAGGGATGCAGTAAAGCAGTGCTCTTTGAGCTCAGGGTGCCTGCTGGGATCAGGGATGCCAGCCGGCTGCCAGCAGGAGCTCAGGAGAAAAAGYAGCTCCTTTCTCTGCCTCCCCTCTGCCTGCTCCTGCCTGTACCAGCGCCCGCCTGTGCCCACACCAAGGGCTCAAGTGTCCGGGCTGGGGTGTAGCCAGTGCTGGGACATGGTTTGTGCTGGTGGCATGGTGTCACCAGAGGCTATGGGATGTGGCCAGTGCCACCAGGGTTCCTGATACCACCACAAACAGCAGGAGGCAACCAACTCAGAGGTCACGTCCGGTCACTGCCTCAATTGTTGCCTGTTGGCACTGGGGAAATTTTGGTTTTCACCTTCCAGAAGTCAAAGTGGAGCTGAAAACACGGGGAGCTGGAAAACCCATCAGCCTTGGCAATGTCCCTGAAGGTTTTGTCTCCCCTCAGCCCTCCCATATTGTTGAACGTTCCACCCCTTTAGGCTTGGGGTGCAAGAGGGGGTCCACCCTGTAGGGCACAGGGCTGCCCCACGAGTGCTTCCTGGGGCTCTGGGTCAGACGCAGAATCCTGGGCAGCTGAATCTGCTTTATTGTGCTCAATTAGTACAAGGTCCCCTGTGCTGCTGTTCCACACCAGGACAGTGCCACCTTTATGCCCCCCCATCTCCCCTTTGCGCCCCCCTCCTCCTGCTGGGCCCCTGCGTCCCACCAGTGCCTGTCCAGCCCCTCCGTGCTCCCACTCCTGCCTGTAGCCCCTTTGGGACCCGAGGGTGACCCTGCTGCGCTGTCCTCCCGCAGTGCCGTGCTGGGGGGACACTGCCTGGCTCTGCAGGTTTACATTCATCGTAACAGTCGTTAATAAATATTTCGGTGTCTCTGCGATGCCGGCAGCCGGCTGGGTCCCCASCGGTGTCGGAGCCGGTGGCAGGGGCAGTCCGCAGCTCCTCGGGGAGCCGCTCAGCCCGGCTGCTCTCCCGCGGCCCCGGAGCTGCAGCCCCGCCACTGCCCACGCAGCGCTGCCGGCAGCGGCCGAGGCTGTGCCCCACCTGCGGCCCCGCTCCTAGGCAGAGCCCGGCGCCCGGGGCCGACCCCCGGGTCACCAGGGGGACGCGCTGCGGGGGCCCCGCTCGGCCCGCGGCCCCTCGTGGGTGCGCCGGCGGCGGGCTCTGCGCGGCTCCTCGCCCTGCCCGCGGCCGGGGGGCCCGGCGGGAGCCCGGGGCGGGGGCGGGGGTCTTCCCCGGCTCCAGAGCCTCTGGCACACCTTGTCCGTGGCCCCCAGCGGTGGACGCTCCACCAGCTGGAGGAAGTCCCGGTACCAGACCTTGCGGCCGGGGACCCCGGCGGCGAGCTGGGGGTCTCCGGCAGATGCCACGCCCGCGGCCTGCCAGGCACCGATCACCTCCAGGGAGAGCCGCAGCAGGGGCTGGGTGAAGCCGTGCTCGGTGGCGTGGCACAGGTAGAGGCCGGCGTCGGCGCGCTGCACGCTCCGCAGCAGGACGCCCCGCTCCGTCCGCACCACYCGCTCGTCCATCTGCACCTGCAGCAGCCGCGGGGATGGGCGGTCAGCTCGGCACGGCAGCGCACGGTCCCACCGGTGCTACCTGGCCGGRGAGAGCCTACCTCTCGCTGGGGATCATTCAGGGTGCGCTGGTATGTCCAGAGGACGTGGGCTTGCAGGGATTTGGGGATGCACTCCAGAAAGACCGTGCTTCCCTCTACCCCGTAGAGCTGCTTCTGGGGCACGCTGTCTCGCCGGGGATCTGGGGGGGGACACGGCCTGGCTGTCAGCCCATCACCATGGCAGTGCCGGCCCCCAGGCTCTGGCCGTGTCCCAGCTCACCTTCAGAGCAAAGCACGTTGGGGTCACCGTTGCGGACGTCCTGGCGGCGGAAACGCCTGTGGGAAGGCGGTGGAGGAGCAGGGGCTGAAGCGGCGCGAGCTGTGCTCCTCGCCATGGCCTCAGGGCAGGCTGACTGCCCCAGCACCGCACCCTGGCATGTCACCTACCTTTTGGTGTTGGGCACGTAGCGGGTGCAGGTGTTGCCATCCCAGGCGCARTACGGGTCCCGGGCCAGGCAGCACTCGGCACAGGCTTTGCCATAGGCACCGCAGCGGTGCAGGGGCAGCTGGGCCAGCCCTGTGGCCGAGCCAGCGTAGAGCTGATGCTGGGGRAAAAGCAGAGCTGAGCACCTCCATTCTGTGGCATGGGGCTAGGCAGAGCCATGGTGGACACGAGAATGCCCAGAGGTCCCTGCTTACCCGCTTGGAGGAGAGCTGCAGGCTGGTGATGGGGGAGGCATCCTGTGGGCAGAGCATGGGCAGAAGTCAAGGGTGCATGGAGGAACCTGGGCGTGCAGGCTGCTAGCTCCCATATCCTGACGGCTGGAGTGCCCTGGCACAACCCAGAGCATGGACAGCACAAAGGGGTACTGCAGGCAAGTCTGACTGGTGGGGTGTGGAACCCTGACCCTCACCTGGAAGACCTGTAGCTCCTCCAGCAGCAGCGGCTCCATGCGGTGCCAGCTCTCCTTGGGCACTGAGACCACCTTCAGCACTGTGCCCACATCTGCAGGCAGGGAGATGTGAGGCCATGGGTCCCAGCCCCAGCATCACCCTGCTCTCCCTCACTGCCCATCCCTGGGGTCACCACATGCCTGTGCCAATGAAGAGGACATCGTAGTGGCCATCRGCAGCGGTGACACGGTCCACAGCGATGCGGGTGAAGGTGTAGGGCACAGCGGCTTGCAGGAAGAGGGGGCGCTGGCCATGGGGCAAGACAGGGTTGTACATCAGCGGGTGGTGACGGGCAAACTGGATCACCTCGTCTGGGAAGTCTTTGGTGGAGCCGAAGGTGCCGAAGGTTTTGCTGGGGCACTGCAGGGAGACAACACTAAGCRGGATCTCACACCCCACTGCCACCAYCCCAAGTGGGACATCCCACTGGTGGCACCAGCTGGGACACCCCGACACCACTCACCATGCCCGGGCGGGGGTAAGGTACACGGCCCTGGTATGACACCCACTGGTAGTTGGGACCTTCCTTGTGCGCAAAGGGGCCCAGGAAAGCCCGGCGGATGTCGGCCATGGTGTAGACACAGACAGCTGAGCCTTGGAAAACAGAGCTGGWGGGAGACAGAGGGGAATGATGTGAGAGGGCAAGGGGGGCACCACTGGGTGTGGGTGGGGTATTGGGGAGGGGGCTTGACCTGGAGGTGGAGAAGATGGCGTAGGCCAGAGGGTTGCGCTTGTCCCTTGTCTGCAGCAGGAAAACGTCCCCTGCAAGCAGGGAAGGCATCAGTGCTGCCAGGGCTGYCACAGCTACACTGGGGGGGTCGCATCCCCCTTCACTCACGGAGCTCATCGAAGTGGGTATCTGCCCCGTCAGGTCCCGGCACGGCGCACACAAGCCGAGCCTTCAGGAATGTTGTCCACTTGTTCACCAGGCTGCGCTGCCCGCCCACGTCATTCTGCCAGGGAARGGAGGGCACCAGTGTCAGCAGCAGCAGGRGGCACMCCTGGRCACCCTGGCCCCCAGCCCACCTGCYCRTGGATKCTCTCACCCGGCAGATCTGGCCGATGCGGGCAAAGCTGGTCTTGCCCAGTCCCTGCTGCCGTTCGACTGCTGTCTCACGGAAGAAGAAGTAGATCTTGTCGTCGTCAGGGTCCTCACTCTCTGGCACCCAAAATACGGCCACGAACTTGGGCTCTGGGGACAGATGGGTGATGTCTCCAATGCCTAAACTAGCTCTGTTCCCCAGGGACCCCGGAGCACCTGTCAGGGCCCCAGGGGAGGGTGCAGAACAAGYCCTGCCCAGCTGCAGAGGCAGAGTGAGGATGGGACCCCACCARACATCGGGGGTCTGCAGGGGACCCCTGAAATCACCCTCTGGAGGCAGTGAAGGACAGKTACAGGTGAGCCTGGAGGAGTCACTGCCCCAATGCCCCCAGACAGCAGCACTGCCACGCCGGGGTGCCGTCAGCCTCCCTGCCACCCTCCCAGTGCCCAGCACTGACCGTTGAGCCAGCGGGAGTCATGCTGCTCCGTGCGGACGGAGGGACGACGGCCCAGGCTGCGGAAGATGGTAAAGTCACGGCCCATCAGATCGGTGGCCACCCCAGAGTAGAGCTCCTCGCCTGGCAGGCACCGAGGGAAGCGTTATGGGGGACCCCCGGCACTCCGTGCCGCGCTGCAGCCAGCACCGTGCTCAGCGTTCCCTTACCCACAAGGACAGAGGCGGCTGAATGCCGGGGGTCGTATGGGCTCTTCCCCTTGCCGTCCTCAGTGTGGCGCGGGTCCAGCTTGAAAATGGGCTCCTGGAGAGGGGTAAGAATGGGAGGTGGGCAGGTGGCAGCAGCTGGGGGCTGTGGTGGTACCAGGGGAGGCTCACTTCTGCATGCTGGCCAGCCTCGATGAAGGCACAMACGGGATGGAAGGCACCAGTGCCGCAGGCATACAGGTGGGTCCGGTTGTAGGGGTGCAGGATCTTCACAAAGTTCATGCACTCAGCCTGATGATGGAGAGAATGAAGGGTGAGGTGGTGCTGGGGCAGACCCCTGGCACAGCCCTGGCATCCCACAGCTCCCCCCAGCACTCACGGTGATGTCCTTGCCGGCCCAGTTGCATTCTTCCCTCCACTCCACGGGAGCCGGCCAGTAGATCTGCGGATAGAAAAGGGGATGCTTACAGCACCTGGTGCACCCGGGACTGCCCCGCCAGCATGTGCCCCCCACCCCGTTACCTTCCTGTCCCGCTGGCTGATGTCATCCAGGGCCAGGGAGAGGAGGTGGTTCTGGGCGCCCACGAAGAGACGGCCGCGCTCCTCGTCCAGCAGCAGCGCGTCGTAGCAGCAGGAGCGCTCCAGCGAGAAGAGGCGCAGCCCATGGCGAGCCCGCAGCTCTGCCGGGACCCACCGGCACTGCTCAGCCCGGCCCCGCCACCGCCTATCCCTCTCCCCTGYCCCAGATAAGCTCCAAGGCAGCTCGGGTCCGGCCACGGCCCCCTGCCATGCCATCCCCTCCCCCAAACCTGTCCCACTGGCTTGACCAGGTTCACCAAGCCCTGGCCTGCCCAGCGCTCATCCCCCATGCCAGCCCCACACCCATCCCTGCGTCCCCCCAAACTCGTCCCCAAAACACCCAGCATGGATTCCCATGTCCCTCAGCACCCATCTCTGCACCGCTCACCCCGTGGCAGGCAAGGGGGAGAAGGGGCCGTTCCCTGCCCCGCGGAGCTAATCCCACCGTGGCGGGAACAAACAGCCCTTTGTCAGGCTGGGAGGAGAGCTCTCGCTGAGACCCGCCGCTGGACAAAGCCCCCTGCGCCGCGCAGGAGCCCATGGAGTGGCCAGTGGGGACACGGCACCGGCTGGCACGACATTCCCACTAGGTATGGCACAGCTGTGACCAGCGGGTGCCACCATGGTGCGCACAGGGATAGGGGCACCTGAGCTGGCACCTGCCGGGGCTGSGAGTGAGGAGGCATGGCCCCAAGGGCAGGCAGGTGGCCCTGGAAGGGCTGGCATCAGGTAAGGAACACGGCAGCCAGTACCAACAACACCTGAGAGCCCGCGGGGAGGGCGGCAGCAGTGCTGGGGACGTGCCAGTGCCGGGGTTTCGCACCCCTCCCACCACGCTGCCCCCCAGGATAATCCCGTCCCTCGGGATGATGCTGGATGCTGCTGACACGCCAGCAGTACACCCACACTTGACCCCACACCCCCCGCCTGCCCGTGTCCCATGCTCACCGGGGAAGGACAGCTTGAGACGGGGGGTGGCAGCGGGTGGGGGGCGGCCGGCAGCGAGGCCGCGCAGCAGGAGCAGCAGCAGGAGCAGCGTGCGGCTCATGGCCGGGGTCTGGCTGGTGGCGCCGCGGCTGGGGCAGAGAGGCAAGACCTCAGCTCAGGTTACAGCCCCCTCCCCACAGCTCCCAGACCACGATCCCTCCCCGATGCTGCCGATGGTGTCTGCAGAGCTCTGAGCATCGGCATAGGGCGACCCCAGGCACGGCACRAGGGGGATTCCCCACCGGGCTCAACCTGGTAATTGCAGGGGACATGAACCAGTCACATCTCTTCTCTGTTTTTAGGCCCCCATTAATCCCACCCCAAACGAAACGGGCTTCAGGAACGACCTCCTGCCCGAAGGGAAACTGAGGCAGCCCAGCTAAGCAGCATCTGCAGCCCATCAGCAGGAGGGTGCTGGCTCTGCCCATTCCTGCCTGCAAGCAGAGAGCTGTCCTATAGGAATGGGGACCAGGGCAGAGCAAGCACCGAAGTGGTGACAGCCAGGTAGGGCACCCTGGGCAGTCAGTAAGCTTCCGAGCACTGGGCAAGCTGTCCATCATGATAGTCATGGTGTCCCTTGCCTCAGTTTCCCCCACTGCTACCGCCCCACCGTTAGCCCCTGACCTATAATGTACCACCATGCAAATGGGAGCAGGGTTTGCAGAGCTCTGGCTGAGTGGGTGCCCTCAATCCCCAGAGGAGCCCATCCTGGTGTGTCTGCCAACTCTGATGGGTACCCTGCCACAGGGTAGGGAAGCACTCCTCCCAGCAGCACGCTCTGGAGGTGATGGTTATCAGGGCACTGTGCCAAAACACAGATCCCACCTTGCCCCCCTGGCCATGCTGCACAAGGCACAAACTGAGCGATGCTGGTCATCAGCCCCTGTGGGTTTCACCCGTGGCACAGCCGCTGGGGTCTCACCAGGACACGGTGACAAGCAAGGGCCCACCACAGCACCCGGGCTCGGTGCAATCACCCCAGGTTCTGCTGCCCTGCGTGAGCTGAGCACCGGTGGATGCYGGCCTGCAGTTGGGGTTGCATGGCATGGGTTGGGGTTCCTGCGGGCAGGGCAGCCCCCTCCAGGCTGGCCGGTGGAGATGAGCCCGGGGCGGGCAGCGGGCAGCAGGCAGAGCTTTGCTGGGCGCAGTGCCGGCTCTGGCTGCCCGGTGTCCCGGCACGAAGGCGGACCGCGCTAATGGCATTTACAGAGGCGCCGGGATGAGGCGCGGGACCCGCCGGGCTCCGGCAGCCCCGACGGCTGTGGCCAGCCAGGGCCGTGCCGGGCCACTGAGGGCATCCCGCCTGCCCGCACTTGCCGAGCGGCCGGGGCAGACCCCCRAGCGCAGACCCCCGGGCACGGACCGCCGTGGCACTGACCTGGCTGACCCGAGGGGCCGGGGGGCGGGTGGGCAGCAGCAGCAGCAGCGGTGGCGACCCTCGGTGCCCACCCTGGCAGATCCAGCCCGCGAAACTCGCCGAGCCAGCCCCGACACCAGCCCTACGGTGCCAGCGGGGACACGAACCCCACCGCGATCCCCCCCGTGCCAGCACGGGCAGCCCCCCGACAGCAGCGCAGGGACCCCGTCCCGGGACACTCGCCGGCCACCTCCGCACCCTGCTGGCCCACGGACCCCCGGCACCCACCTGTGTCCCGGCTCGGCTCGGCCCGACCCGGCCCCGCCCGCCGCGTCCGCCGGGAGGGAGCGGGGCGGTCCCGCGGGGCGGGGCGGGGCCGGGGGCGCGCACAGGGACGCGCACACGTGTGTGCGAACACACACTTACGAGCAGACACGCGGCACCCTCATACACACACACACACACACAGACACGCGAACACCCAGGCCACTCACACAMGCACAGAGCCGTGTTGCCATCCCAGTGGCCCGGGGTGACACTCAGGGATACCCACGGTGACACCCCCTGTCCCCGGGGCACAGCTGAGGATGCCACGCTCAGCACACATGTCGTTCAGCGCACGAGTGGTGGCGGGGCTAACCTCCTTCCCGGGACAGGCAGTTGCCTGCCCGGGTGTGGGGGCCGTGCCGGGGGTTCCCGGGGCCGTTCCGGGGGTACGGGGGACCGGTTCTGCGCCCCGCTCAGCTGCAGCCCAGATGTCTGGCCCGGGCCCAGCCCGGAGCAAACAAAATTCCTCYGCTGCCTCCCATTTTCCAGCTGCCGCTGCCAAGAATAGCAAGTGCCGAGTGGTGCCGGCAGCGGGGCCACGCGTGCCTCGGCGGGCAGGGCTCGGGGCGGGGGGAACACGCGCTGCCTTCGGGGCCACACCTGCCTTGTTCTCCCGGTCCGTTCTGTCCCTACCTGCGGGTGCAGGAGACCAGGAACGCAGGTCCAGGATCAGTGGAGAGGCAGAGGTGCAGGCAGGCAGGTGCAGGGTGCGTGGGGAGGCACGAGTGCGGGCAGAGGTGGGTGCAGGCAGTGGGTGCCAGCGGGCAGCGAGTGGCGGCGGGCCGGCAGGGAGTGCGGGCAGCAGGTGCCGGCAGGTCAGGTGCAGGTGCAGGCAGGTAGCTGGCACAGGCAGGCGGTGAGTTCAGCAGGCAGCCAGAGCCATGCAGCGAGGCCAGTAGTAGGCAGAAGCTGTGCCAGGCAGGGTGCCCGGGCAGTGCCCTTCTGTCCCGCTGCCAGTAACCCTCGTGCTGCCAGCCTTGGTGCTCTGGCACGCCGGCAGGCTCTGTTCCAGCACTACCACTTGTTCTTCTCCTGGCTGTGCCGCAGAGCTGAGTGCCAGCCCAGCTTTGTGGGCTGCAAGGGGGACGGGGCGGGGTGGCAGGGGAGCACCGGCACCAGTACAGCAAGGGTTACTCTGCGGTGAGATTTTCTCCAGGCACCATCAGGACTTTGTGCTGGGTGGCCCCCACACGGCTGGGCATGGCGTCCCTGTGCCTGCCGTCCCTGGATGGCAGGCTGCGATGGTGGGGACAGGAATGTCGTGCCCAGCCCTGCACAGTGGGCACCTTCCTGTGATATGCCARCACCGCGCCTCAGTTTCCCTTCACCAAGCTGGGACTTTTCCAACCACGGCCACTCCCGGCACGCGTGGCGAGGTGGCCAGGTGACGTCACCATCACCCAGCCCTGGAGCCCTGCGGGGACCTTGCTGGCAGCGGCTCCTCCTGGAGAAACCATCAAGCGTCAGAAGGGCCGGGCTTCCATCCCGGAAAAAGCGGCGCGGGAGGGATGCGCCACGTCGGCCGCCGGCCACCCCTTCCCGCCCCACAGGGTGTTCCTGGCAGGCACCGGAGCCACTAAGCGCTGGCACGATGACCGTCCCCATCTGGAATGGGCACCGCCACCAGCATCCAGTCCTCATCCCTGCGCTCTCTGCCAGCCCGGAAGGCTTCACAGCCAGGTGCCGGTGGCCTGGCTCCCCGCCAGCGCGGGGGTGTCACCGCCGACGGCACCAGCAGGTGCTGGCGCTTTCGCTCTTTGATCCCGCCCCTGCCGCTGGCAGATCCGCACCCAGGGATCGCTGCCTCGGCCAAGTCTCCCCTGGCGGTTCCGGCTCCGGCAAGCATCYGTAGCTCTGCCGGCAGCGCCCGAGCCCCCAGCGGTGTTTGCGGTAGGAARCGGCTCCTCTCCGCCCCGCAGGGCTCCGGGGGCGGCACGGCAACAGGCAACGGCCAACGCTCCCGCATCCCCGGTGCCGGGTGAGCCAGCAGGCATGGGGTGTATCCATGCCATCGAATGGGTGACCAGGACCACCGGCTGCTGGGACCCTGCGTGAAAGGAAAAGGGCTGGGATAGGCATCCCCTAGCCCTGCACCTCAAACAGGAATGGTACTTCACCAGAAGAGCCCTGGGGATTCCGTGGGGACCTGTGGGGTGACTTCTCCAGGGGAGGGAGAAGGGAGCATGGAGGTGTCCAGGCTCAGGGGATACCAGTCATAGCAAAAAGTTATATTTTTGTTCATCAGGCTCGTGATGGCGCTACAGATGTGGCTTTAGGACCTCTTTGGGAGTCCATCTGTGGTAGATAGTGTTGGGCCATGGGATGGCATCGGGCCTTGTGTGGCTGCCACACCYCTGGTGCAGGGGGAGGATGTGACCCGGAGGGGACAGAGCCCACGGCATCCCAAGTGTGCCAGTGTGAGGGCTTGGCTGGCAGGGAGCAAACGTGCCTGAGACAGCTGCATCCTTATAGCACAGCATGGTGGCGATGTCCCAGGGTGACACCAGCTCTAGGCTCACATCCTGTCTGTCCCACCCCGACCCTATGTCCATCCCCCATCACAGCATGCTGCTGTGAGAYCCCAGCAGCAGGGACCCCTGTGGCCCCAGTGCATTCCTGCCGGGATTAGGTACCGGCTCCCGGCAGCGCCATGCTGGTGTAGCCCAGCTAATCCCTTTTTAATTGTCCCAACCCTGTGCTGGACCGATCTGGGCTGCCCAGGGGATGTGGGCTGCTGTGTGCACCCCAGTGCCTGATCACATCTGGGGTGCCATCATCGTGTGACTCTTCTGTGAGACTGAGCCATGGGGTACATCATGAACCTTTGGGGTGGTGATGAAGAAGGGGACATTCATCCTCCAGGTGCAAGACAATGGCTTTTTGGAAAGGGAAAAGGAAGGATCCTGGTATTACAGGATCCTATCCTCCTGAACCCAAGTGACCATTTGCCCTTGGCTTTGTGTCTGCCAGCAGCCAGGCTCTGGGACAGGCAGAGGGGCCATGTGYCCTGCACTGAAAACCACTGAAACTGCTCAAAACCATAAGTGGGGCAGGAGCAGGACACCCAGGCTTCCTGCCACCATCCAAACCCTCTCTCCATTCCAGCAGGAAGGCAGGGGGAGGTGCAGGCTGAGCCCCCYGCCTGCTGCCCTGCCCATRTCCTTCTRTCYCTGCCCTGCRCCACACCAACCAGTGGCATTCAGATCCTTGGGCTTTAAAAATAGGCTGGTGTCCCTGCCATGGGGTCAGTAATTTTAGCCAGGGTGTGTCTCGTCGGGAAGCACGCRGGACCATTCATCTGCTCCTGCTGGCCCGGCTGCATCCACACCCAGGGCTGATGTCAGCCCCTCGCTGCCCACTTGCTTATCCCTGTCYAGGAACAAAGCAGTCCAGCCGTGGCCACCTCGGGCACAGACAATGTCTGGTGGGATGGCAAGGGCAGGGAAGTGACGACAGGGGTGTCCAGCTGCCACCCCCAAAGTTGGTGGCCCCAGGGAGCACAGCATTGCACAGCACCCAGCAGCACCCAGGCGGGCAGTGATGGAGGAGTCCCGGCACCCTGCCCTCTTCTCTCACCCTGCTCCTCTCACCCCGGCCCCCCAACACAACAGCCACTTCAGATTGCCTCCCACGGTGCTCCCGGGGGGCTGTGCAGGCTGGGAAGGCTGCGGGGGCCGCCGTGGAGCATAATGGGGCTATTGATGGCCGAGCCAGCGGCCCCGGCACGGCACAATGGGGCCTTGTCTGCTGGCCCAGCTCCCGCTCCTGCCCAGCCCCGTGCCCAGCCTCAGGATACCCCCTTTCCCGATCGCCTCGGAGCTCACCCAGGTGCCAGCCAGGGCAACCCCTGCCTTGACAGAGCCAGTGAGAACTGTGAAGGACCGCAGGTGGGAGGCCACCAGGTGAGCCCCCCCTTCCCATAAAGCAGTGCCCAGGAAAGGAGCATGGCTTGGGAAACCTCCCAGCACGGTGGTGCTCACCCGTGCCAGCACCGCTGGGACAGGGGTTAGGGGTCCCTGCTCAGCTGTGGGGTGACAGGAACAAGGAGGTGGCACATGCCCAATGATGCCTTCAGTTCCCTCTCAGGACCACGCCCAAGCCCGCTGGCACCCAGTACCCACCGAGGGGAGGCAGGGACTTCACCACCGCCCATGGTCCCAGTCCCCCGACCCCACGCCCCCCCTCAGTGGGCCAGCCCGGTGCCCCAAATCCACCATCTCACCTGCTGTGGTGCGTGGGCTCTGCCGGAGCTCGCCTGCCTCCTCGCCCGGCGGGTAAGCTGGGGCTCTGGCTGCCGCCTGCTCTTTAAACCCCAAATCCCCGGTGCTGGGCGCCAGTCCCGCCAGCGGCGGGGGTGGAGGGAGGGGATGCAAAGCCCCGGTCCCTGCTCCCGGGGCCGGCACCAACAAAAGGCAACTGTGTCGTGTGTCCTCCCTCTGCATCCAACGACCTGGCTGGCCGCTTGGGAACAGCCCCTCAGGACCCCAGGGCTTTCTGGGGTGCTGCCACCCCCTCTGCCTGCGCTTGGAAGGGAGGAGAGGTGCGAGCAAGCCTAGGATCCCTGACCGCAACTGCGGAACATCCCGATGTCCCCAAGCACCCGTTCCTGCCTGCTCGGTCCTGTTCCTGCCTTGGAAAGGTGCCAGGGTGAAGGCACTCATCACCGTCCCAGTGCCTCATCTGCTCCTGCAAAGCCCAGCCCAGCAGGGTTGGAGCGGGAGGAAGGGGATGAGGCTGCTGCCATGGTGCCCGTTCTGGGGGGACTCACCCCGTGGTACCCCCATAGCTGCCGTGGGGCCGGGCGGCTGCCTGCGAAGCATCGCTGCGGTCCGAAGGCCGAGCAGCCGGTGACGCCTCATTAATGTAGGGTAAATGTGTAACAAGTTCTCAGCTGGGCTGGGGCGGTTTGAGCCGCATGACTCCTYTGGCCTTCCCGGCATCCTGGGAAGCGGGGTTGAAGTGGCTCTGTCGCAGCAGGAGCCACTCAGGCACGGCAGGAGGGAGAAGGAAAGTCCATCTTGTGGCTGGATSCGCTGGGGTGTCCAGAGCTGGCTGGACGGAACAGAGCGGGCAGCGTGTTGGGCTGGGCTGGGCACAAACCCATTGCCGGAGGGAGAGGATGATCTCAGCCCATCTGCCCTCCAAGAGGGCATGGGGTGAGAGAGCCAAGGGAGCCAGGCTCTGTTCAGCAGTGCCTGCCAGCATGGGAGGCAATGGGCACCATTTTAATAAAAAAAAAAAAAAAAACCAAACAGGAAATTCCATCTGAAGGCGAGAGAATGTGTTTTCCTTCTGTGACAGTGGCCAGGTGCTGACACGGCTGTGCCAGAGGCTGCAGAGCATCCAGCCTTGAGGATCCGTGCCCGAGCAGCCGGCACCAGCTGAGCCACTCCTGCCGTGGGGTGGGCTCAGGGCAGCCAGGGACTCTGCCAACGCTGTCCTGGCAGCTGTGACCGGGCAGGTGGAGAGGGGCTGGAACACATGATCCTGGGATGTCAGTGCCACYGCACAGCTGAGCACTCAGCATGTTTCCCAGAACTGACCGAGGATCACTGTGCTGTGCCGTGTGGTGCCATGCGAAACCACAGGGCACCTCGCAGTGTTGAGCTCCATGGAAAGCAAGGGAGTGGCCAGAACCCTCGGGAAAAAGGTGACCCCATTGGAGAGGTTCCAGGCAGCGTGGCCACCACTTCCCATGGAGTAGATTGAGGGACTGTGGCTGTCCCACAGAGGGGCATACAGAGTTCTGGGGTGCAAGTGGGAGGAGAGGGCTTGGGGGACACAAGTCTGGGGTAATGTGGGCTGGAGTCACACGGGTGTGACCAGGTGGTGGGTGCTGGGGAAGCCCCAGTGGGGCCAGGCTGGGCCAGGCTGGCACTGGGAGGCAGGTGTGGGCAAGGTGCGGGCAGGGGGCAGGAAATGGGCAGGCACGGGGTGGGCAGTGGATAGGGGGATGGGGAATGTGCTGGTGGTCAGCAGGCAGTGCGCAGGCAGCGTATGGGCAGTGGGCACGGGGTGTGGGCAGTGGACAGGCAGGGTGTGGGCAGTGGGCGGGCAGTGGGCAGGCACGGGGAGGGCTGGGTGTGGGCAGCGGGCCGGGTGCGGGCAGTGGGCAGGCAATGGGTGGTCAGTGGGCGGTCAATGGGCGGTCCGTGGGCTGGGTGCGGTCCGTGGGCAGGCAATGGGCGGTCAGTGGGCGGGCAGAGGGCGGAGAGCGGGCACGGTGCTGCTGTGCCCCCGGCTGCCGGCAGAGAGCGGTCGGGCACCGGTCCCGGCCGTGCCGCTCTGCTCCGCTCCGCCCCCGTGCTCGCTGCCGGTGCCCCCCGCGCTCCCCGGTGCTCCCGGGCAGGGCCATCACCAGCCCACAGAGTCACGGGACGGCCATGTCCCGCGTGGGTGGTGCGGGGTCACCATCGGCCTGTCCGTCCCTGCAGCCGGTGGGAACCGGGAGCGGCTGGCCGGCGGCGGGGCGATGGCGGGGCCGGGGCTGCCGTAGCACCGCGCTGACCTTGCCGGCGGCAGAGCGGGAGCGGGCAGCGCTCTGGGCAGAACCGGCGGAGCTGGAGCAGCCGCCCGTGGCCTGGCACCCATGGTCTGACCTTCCCAGGGACAGCTGTAGTGCAGTTGGGGGCTTGTATCCCCATCGCTACCCTGCTGTGGTGTCACCATTGTGTCACCATTGTGCCACCATTGTGTCACCATTGTGTCACCATTGTGTCACCATTGTGTCACCATTGTGCCACGGTGGCTACTGCCACTGTTGATGACATTCCCCATACCCAGTCCAGCTCTCCTTTGTGCTTCCTGCAGCCCACCGAGCCCAGTGCTGGTGGCAGGTGGGTCCTGCTGCTCACAGCAGGGTGAGGGTCCCAGGAGTGCCATGGAGCGTGTGGGAGGACTTTGGGTGGCATGGGACGTGCCAAGGGGGAATGGGACTGCAGCTGGCCTCTGGCATCCCCTGGCACC